TAATCCTTTTTTTTTTTTTTTTTTGAATAAATAAATAAAGAAATGATTGATTTGTTAATTCTAACTTAACTCTTTGATAAAAATGAATATTTCGGACTGTCAAGGAAAGGAGCACAAATCCGTCAATTTTGTGCAACAACTTATGAGCAAAGTGAGTATGGCTTGGGGTTGATTGAGAGTCACAAAACGGTCTAACTTTGAACAACAGAAATGATGGTAGGCATTTTTTGAACTCGAGCATTTAGCGTTGAGCTTGAATGCTAATGTTGTGAGAGCTATCTGCCTATGCCTTTGTGAATATTGCCTTAGATATTTGGGAATGTTATGATTATGTGTTGTCCTCAACGAGGCACTCTGGAAAATGTATCATGACATTAGGTGTGAATTTCAGCTCCATATTAACGTTAGCAGATTGAAAGCAAAACTTGATATATTGCTTGACTACGAAGTACTCAGCCAAAACTGAAATTTTATATATTTATGGTGTTCTGCTACTTATGAATATAATGAAAGTATACTTATTTGTTAGTTTTTTGCCCGGCTGCCTGTAGGATTGTTTTCTGTATGCAACATAATAATATAAACTTTGGTTTGTTGTATTTACTAATAGTAATTTCATTTAATAATAAATTTTCTTGCTTTGATGAAGTTTAAAGGTGTACGTGGATTTGCCGTGTGTTATATTTCGGCTGAACAATCGCAAATTGGATAGAATGGACTGTGTATAACCGTATAACCATCAGGTAAACAACTTCTTGTTATTCACACAATATTTCTTTCATTCTGTATGTTTGTGTGTGAATAGAGTAACGCATTAAAATATTTTCAAAATTATATATGAAATGATAATTTTAGGTACACCGTAATTGGTACCAGGGCTCTTTAGATTATATTTGGGACAATCAAATAATTTTTTTCTCATTTATCTACATAAAATTTTTTCTCACTTATCTACTTATTTATGTGCTTTGCTTATAATGAACAATGAAATACTAACTATGTTGTAGGTTAAGGTTGTACTTTTTAAGTTTCGGACTGGTGTTTAAGGAACTTTGGATTCTATAAGACATAATAACAGAAAATTCTACTTTGTTTGTTGCTACTAGCTTAGTGTATTGTTCCTCGCAACCACTTTCCTTATTGTTTTGTTTCAGTCCTACATATAGAAATAGGATCAGAAGCATAAAAAAAAATCTTTTGTTCTGATTTTTTCATATTTTACATAGTTATTTATAGTTTTTATTTCATTATGATTGGTTATTTTGTTAAATTTAACCTTTTTGAGTACTATTTTATATTAAATTTAACCCATCATTTACTATTTCGTTAAATTTAACCTTTTTGAGTACTATTTTATGTTTGTCGGTGAGGGTTAAGTGATGTTGTAAATTAATTTGTTTGGATTGTTGCTCAAAATCGATTGTAGGCATTGGAGAATGAATCGGATATGGCTACTACTTGGATGTTTTGTATCGAAACAAAATATATTTTGAGTATCTTATATATTCAAATTTTCAGCAAGTGTTTATCATTGAACACATGACTATTATTTTAGATCTTAAATGATGGGTTGGAATGGAATTGACAAAATAAGGAATCTACTATGAATGATGTTGTTATTTTCTTTTTATATATATAATTCTATCGAAGAAAAAAATATTTATATTGCTAGAGATGATACAAAAAAAACAATATCGGATATAAAACTAAAATCTTGTAACGAGTTATTACCTCATTCTTGGCCATTTGTTGATTACTTTAATTTAGGGGTTTGATGTATATTTAGTGACATCATTTGCTTATGGTTTTAATAAATTATTTCCTTCATTATTTTTCATTATTTTATTATTACAAAAAAATATTTTTTTCGCCGGAAATAAAAATTCTAACGTGGGCCGGCCATGCCTTGCATGGTGATAGAATTTAAGAATTTCAGACTAGTATTTTAGAATTTAAGAATTTCAGACTGCATGTATAATTCCAGTAAAATTTCATAGCCTTAATTCCAGAATAAATTTTACTTGGCTGCATGCATAATAGATTAAAGATTAAAGAGTTAGCTTAAAGTTGAGTAGCATCCCGCAATTAGATTATAGTGTTTTCGAAAAAAGTTAATTAGAGTTTTCGAAAATTTAATCAGTACTTTCTGTGCTGATTTAGCGGGAAAATTTACTCTGATTCTAATAAGCTTAGGCGGGGTGTTACAGTTGGTATCAGAGCGCAGTTAGCATTTCTGTATATTAAAATTCTAGAAAGAGATGACCGCACCACGCTCATGCCGCGCCGACTCCGGGTACATCACCTGAACCCGTATTTATTATTACGATTGCATAATTATTATCGTCAGAGTAGTTAAGAGAAGTTAAGGGGGCTTATGATATATCCTTCGATCAGAGTCAGAATTCTAGAAAGTTGAGATACGTTCTGACTCTAGACTAAGTCAGAACTATAGCCAGAACTTAGAAGAGCTAAGTATAGATCGGAATTCTAGCCAAGCTAGGTGTTTTCGGCAATTCATTAATAAATTCATCAAGTATAGCGTAGTTATTTCTTAATCGACTATATTGTTCTAGTCCTTGTTATTTGGCCATCTAGATGCCTCTTCGTAGAGCTCCGACTCCTCCCGTAGCAGCTCCGTCGGCCCCGCCAGAGCGTGACCAGGCCTACTCAGTCTATCAGTTTCGCGGGTTTCACCCAACGACGTTCAATGGGTCTCCGAGGATGGTTGATGAGTGGTTGCGCAACCTTGACATGATTTTTGAGGTGATGGACTGCCCCTAGCCACATCGGATCATATGCGCACAACTCCAAATGACAGGGGATGCTGGCCTCTGGTTGTCAGCATCCTGGGACATGAGGCCTGGAGAGAAGGCGACCCCTCACTTTGGCTCGCCTTTCCTTCTGGAGAAGTACTACCCAGTGCACAACCGGATGGGTCAATCTTTTGGTCGTATTGGGCCCGTACCCGATGGGTCAATCTTTTGGTCCTGTGGGCTTTGCTATTACTATGCCCAAATTTAATTAGGTTAGGTTTCATTTTTTAGTTGCAGTCTCATATTCACTCTCTTCGCTACACCCAAAGATCTCCTCCATTCACACTCCATAATGTCGGCATCTGCCTCAAATTCAGCCCGACATTATTTCATAAATGGTCCAGCTCATGGGAATCCGCCATTATATTGGTCGAGGGTTTGTCTTCCTTCTTTTTTTTTTTTAAATTTTTTATTAGTGTATTTTTTTATGTGGTTGGTTCAGAATTTTGTTCATGTTATGGTTAAGTTATGAAAAGATGAATTCAAATTTGGTTTGTGAATGTAAATATTGTTGGTTTTGTGTTATATTTTGGCCTCCTACGTGGTGTTCCTGTTTTGTATGAGATTTATGTTGAGTATATGTTAAGCTATGTTTTTTTTGATGACATGATTATATTATTGTTGCTATGCATTAATTTTAGAACTATACGCTCAGTAATAAGGATTTGGTTTGTGTTTGTTGAGTTTAAGGATTATATTATTGTGTTTAATCTTATGCGTTAGTTTTGTTAAACTTTGGACACATTTAGATTCCTAAAATCGTGGTTTTTTTTTCAGAGGTATAAAATCACTCTTTTATGATTAGCCTATTTATGTGTTGTGATACTTGAGAGAATAAGATTACATTTATTATTTAAAGAAATGTTTTGAGCTTTTTTGTGTACTGAAGTTGGTGTTAAGTGTGCTTATTATACCCAATTGTTATATAATTAAAGCAATGTTTGAGTTTTTTCTGGTGCTGAAGTTGGTGTTCGGTGTGTTTATTATACCCAATTGTTATAGAATCTACGTCTACCGGGAACACTATTTTTAGGTTCTCACTACATCAGAGGTTACGACTACTTCAATAGTGATGTTGACAATGATTGTGATTTTGTCCCAAATGTGGATGTGGACAACTTTGGAGCTCATTTTCTTGGTAAGCCTAATGGTCACAGTTCCAATACCGATTCCAACAATGGAGACATGGTCCAAATGTACCATCTTATGAGCGAAACTGTGCGCAAAAGATTGGCTGAGCTTGTTCCGGATCTTAATTTTTAGTATCAGGATAATATTACATTGCTGAAATGTTACAGCGTCATGCTAAGTTTCTTGTAATGGTTTATTTCAAGGATGGACATAATTTAGGATTCGTGTTTGAGGCATTTAGACTTGGTTTGCACTGCCATGCACAATGTTAGAAGTAAGTTAAATGATAGTGTTGACTTTGATTACTAATATTTTGGAATTTTAGATGTAGCATTGTCTCGTCCACAGTTTTAACTCTCAGGATCTGTGGTAGCTAAAGAAATTGTGACGCAATTTGCGGATCATAATCTCATAATCAAACTCCGTTTGTATCGCGTGATACGTGGGATTCATGCTGTGATTTTGAAGGAGATCGCGTACGCCGTCGATAACTTGGGCAACCCACTAATGGAGCTAGCGGCTATTCGGCTTGCTGGAGTCAGCCTCCAACAGGATGAAGAATTCCTTATCCTCCAAATATTCTCGAAGTGGTGACGAAGTTCTTTTCCTATCTTGATCGCTCCCTTTCTCTTTTTTTTTTTTTCCTTGATNTTTTTTTTTCCTTGATATTATTCTAGAGACTGTTAGTTGTTTTTGTAATGTTCCAGGATGCTTGTTTAGGTTTGTTCTGATGCGGCCAGGTGTAAAAGGGTTTGTTTGGGTGAGGGGTTCGTAGTTGGGGCGTGTTTTGGAGAGCAAAAGCGTGTTTGGGTTGTATTTGAAGTATCCTGGAACACTACAAAAACAACTAACAGTCTTTAGAATAATACCAAAAAAAAAAAGGAAGCGATCAAGATAGGAGGAGAACTTCGTCACCTCTTCGAGAATATTCGGGATAAGGAATTCCTCATTCTGTTGGAGGCTGTCTTCAGCAAGCCAAATAGCTATCGGCTCCATTAGTGGGTTGCCCAAGTTATCGACTGCGTACACGATCTCCTTCAAAATCGCTCGTCCAACATGAATCCCACGTATCATGCGATACAAACGGAGTTTGATTATGGAATTCTGATCAGCAAATTGCGTCACCGTTTCTTCAGCTACCACAGATCCTGAGAGTAAAAACTGTGGACGAGGCAATGCTACATCCGAAATCACAAAATATTAGTAATCAAAGTCAACACTATCATTTAACTTACTTCTAACATTGTGCATGACAGTGCAAACCAAGTCCAGATATGTCTCAAACAGGAATCCCAAATTATGTCCATGCTTGAAATACACCGTTACCAGAAACATAGAATGACGATGTAACATTTCAGCAACAGAATAGTTATCCTGATACTTATAATTAAGATTCGGAACAAGCGATCAGTCTTTCGCTCACAAAATGGTACATTTGGACCATGTCTCCATCTGTAAAAGCTGTTGGAACTTGTCCATGCTGACTATTAGGCTTACCAAGAAAATGAACTGTAAAGTTGTACGCATCCACATTTGGGGCAAAATCCCAGTCATTGTCAGCATCACTTTTGAAATAGTTGTAACCGCTGATATAGTGAGAACCTAGAAACAGCCTTACCGGTGGACGTAGATTCTATAACAATGGGTATAATAAGCACACCGAACACAAAATTCAGCACAGAAAAAAATTTAAACATTGCTTTAATTTTATAACAATTGGGCATAATAAGCACACCGAACACCAGCTTCAGCACAGGAAAAAACTCAAACATTGATTGAAACAATAACTGTAACTTTTTTCTCTCAAGCATCACAACACACAAATAGGTTAATCAGAAAAAAAAAATGATTTTATACATCTGAAAATAAAAACCACGATTTTAGCAATCTAAATGTGTATAAAATTCAGCAAAACTAAGACATAAGATCAAACAAAATAAAATCCACTTCATTTACTTCTTTTTTTAAACTCAACCAACACAAACTAAATCCTTATCACTGAACGTATAGTTCTGAAATTAATGCATAGCAACAACAATATAATCATGCCATTAAACCACATAGCTTAACATATACTCAACATAAATATCATACAAAACGGGAACACCACATAGGAGGCCAAGACATAACACAAAACCAACAATATTCAATTCACAAACCAAATTTGAATTCATCTTTTCATAGCTTAATCATAACATGAATAAAATTCTTAACCAATCACAAAAAAAAACACGCTAATAAAAAATAAAAAAAAAGAAGGAAGACAAACCGTCGACCAATATAATGGCGGATTCCCATGAGCTGGACCATTTATGAAACTGTCGGCTGGATATGAGGCAGATGCCGACATTATGGAGTGTGAATGAAAATCGTAGCGAAGAGAGTGAATGATGGGACTACGTCTAAGAAATGAAACCCAATCTAATTAAATTTGGGCATAGTAATAGCACAGGACCAAAAGATTGACCCATCGGGTACGGGCCCAATACGGCCAGAATGGAGAGTCTTGGTATTAAAAAATGACTTCAAGAGCAAAGAAAACTTGCTATAGGGAGTACGAATTTGCTAGGTCGACTGTAAACGAGTCAAGCAGGTTAAATAAACGAGTCTGAAATCGAGCTCGAGCTCGGCTCGTTTAACACTCATAACGAGTCGAGTTCGAGCCGATCTCGAGCTTTAACGAGCTACACTAAAGAAAATTATATAAAAAATCTCTTTTCGCTCGTTTATCTTTAAGCTCGTTTAATTTAACAACACTAATTGTTATAAATAAAATTTACCAGAGAACCTTCTTCAGAAGGTTGTTAAACTTGTTCACCATGGATCTTCTTCCTCATCCAAGATCTTATTAATTTCAATTGAAAGAAAAAATTGTTTTTCAGTCAAATGATCTTATCAATTGAAAGATTAAAAGATTAAAAGTGTTCAGTTTAAATCTTTTGAACAAGAAAAATATTTCTGAGTAAAATTTGAGATCTCAGAAATTAAGATTGCCTTTCAGAAGTTAAGAGAAGGTGGATATGGTTTGTCCTTAATGTTAAATATATAGTTATGAGAGATAAGCACATCGTATCTATTCTCTTATATATATAAAAAGGAGGTACCAGTCCTCCTTGATTGACACGTGGCCATCTTTCCCTCAAAACGATTTCGTTTTAGAAAGTGGTGTCGTTTTATTTGTGGATCTTAATCATTCCCGTCCAATTATTCCAAAGACGATGCCATCGCTTTTTTGTGTCGGCCGATTCTTCTAGAAATTTTAATGTGTTGTCGCTGTTCAAAGCGAGCGCTTGGGTGTGAATGGCGAGCGCAATTTCTCTTGCAATTTCAATCACCACCATGTTTTCCCCGACAAACCTGATGACGAGGAGTTTCCCAGCGATGACGAGGCGGAAACAGAGAGAGACACAACCGGTGACGGCAAGGCGGTGACAAGACAGAGAGCGAGACCCGGAGAGGCGACGACGGAGACATGATGACAAGATCTACGTGTTAGGTTTGTACTCGTGTGTTAATTCTGTCATGCTTTTCTTTTATTTGTTTAGGGTTAGCAAAATTGTTTTTTAGATTTTATATATATTGAATTGGAGTTCAATTTCATGGTTTTTTCAGTTTAAAGTTTTCGATTTGTGCAAATGTGTGCCCAGTCCTACGTGATGTGAGCGTGTTAATTAAATATAGGACTGGAAGTGAAATATTCAATCAGAGCAAGGACTTATATCAATTGGGACGGAGCAGTCACCTGAAGCTGAGGCCTCGCGTCGCGTTGGACAGCCTGACATCGTGCGCCGTCAATTTGCTGTTATTGAGAAAGGACCGCAAAGACGGCAGTGGCGATAGGCAGATCGACTTCGGCAGCATGTCCGGCGACTCCGATCTGATCCGGGCAACCCTGAGAATCGACATTCTGTGGGCCAATGATTCATCCCGCCTGAGGATGAAGTGCCATTTATGCGTGCCCAGACACCTACACATGTTTGCTTGATAACGAATTTCTGTCCTGGAGGCGACAAACAGCCCTTGAAAATGTTTAGAGAGGACTCAACTAGGTATTTTGTTAAACTTGTAGCCACTTTTGTTTGTCCTGAAGAGTTGGTGGACTTATAGTGGATATTGATGTGTGTTAAGTATGCTCTGACCTTCAAATTAATGTTTCATCATTAACTTGCAGATTCTATGCAGCAGAAGTTGTCATCGGCCTTGGGTATCTTCATTGTTTAGGTAATTCTTGTAGCCTATGGCATTATTATAATATATGGGGCAATTAAAGAAGCTACCTGTTACTTTAGTCTAATCACAAATTAAATGTACAAATTACATTTGTAAGACTCATTTGTAGGTTGTTCTTTTCTACAGGGGTTTTTACAAAGCTTGTTAGTTGAATATGTTCTTTTAGTGTTTAAAGTATAGTTAACTCATCTGCTCATCCTATGTTCTCTGTAACAATAATAATTTATCGGGAGAGATAACACTCAAGGAATTCTCTTATTTCAAAACTGTAAACAATAACAAGAAATAAAAAAATCTTTCATTTTCAATTCACTGCCATTTACAAAACGTTTTGCGTGCATCCTTTTAATTCTGTATTTATCAAGTTGGTGTAGAAAACTATTAGAAAAAATTGAAAGCTTGGTTCTGAATCTGCCGTAAGATTTGTGATTTTCTGCATGGATTTTTATGTTGCTTTTATTTGTGCCTTTGCGATGATTGTTCTTTTGCCCAGATCAAACAGTGGTGTTAGAGGTGTTCGATAAGTTCCTTCATTGTGCAAGCTGACATTAGAAAATGAAAGATTGAAATAAATGAATCACAAGTTATTTTTTATCATCCAATTTGAGTTCTTTTCCTTGAATTGGTAGCCCGAAAAATGGTCTGAGTTGTGTATAAACAAGCTAGGGATTTTTGCGAGAATTAATCACTGTTGAATGTGACGGGCGGACCTGCACTTTTTCATCTTCAACGACAAGATCTACGTGCCAGATTCGTACTCGCGAGTCAATTCTATTCTGCTTTCCTTTCATTTGTTAGGGTTTGCATAATTGCTTTTTAGAATTTACAATTAATGAATTGGAGTTCATTTTCGTTTTTTTTTTTTCAATTTTAAGTTTCCGATTTATGCAAATGGGTGCCCAGTCCTACGTGATGTGAAGGAAGTAAAAGTGTTATTGGCTGCAATTTCTTACCTTCATCTTGGGTTGCTTTCAAATCGCCGGCAATTGAAGGTAAATAGTGTATTTTTTCATTGTTTTTTTTATCTGCATACTGTACGATTATTAGTGTTGACAATTGAAGGTAAATAGTGTAGTTTTTCATTTTTTTTTCTTAGTTTGTTGGATGTGGCTGTGTTGCAGTACTCTACGATTATTAATGTTTCTTACAACACATGCTTTATCCACTCCTACTATCCTGGTCCTTTCATGCTCTATGTGAATTAGCCAAGTGATATGACAGAAATAAAGCAAGTAGACCCATATGTATATTTTAGAATTCTCTTGGTTTTAGGTTGTCTGTATTAACTCTCTTTTGGAATTTGTTGTTTTGGTCTACTTTTTAATGAGATATGTGGTATTGAGATGTGGAATAACATGTTGGTGATAATAACAGGCCTTGGTTTTTTTAAAAAGAACTATGTACATCTCATTAAAGTAATCCATAGAGGCCATTGATAGATTAACGAGGGAATAGGATTGAGTTTGTTTTACGTGGGTTTCTATTGATATTGAAGTAATTTGCTAACATTTCTTTTGTTGTTGCAGACTGATAGAGCTGCTATGCTTGATGAGATATTGGACTATGTGAAGTTCTTGAGGCTTCAAGTCAAGGTTAATATATTGTTGTGCACAAAACATTTAAACTACAGTTGGGATCTCTTGACCTGCTTGTATAGAAAGTCACAAAACTATTTAAATTCTGGTTATTAGTCACCAACCTCTTGAATATTTGGTTGCTTATTTAGTAATTGAACCCTTCAAGAATTTTCTAATCTTGATGTCGGAAAATTATGCTATTGTGAACCCTTTTTATATGGGTCATGATCATCTTTTTTGCTTAAAAAAAAGTATTTTTGAATTTTTTCTCAAGACACTTTAGGTCAAGTTGTGTGCCAGTTGATTGAATATCTGATCCATGTATTATACATAAGCCAAGAATCATTCCCCTTGGTCTTTCTCTCTCTCTCTATGAACTAACAATTAAATATTGATAGGTTTTGAGCATGAGTCGGCTAGGTTGTGCTGGTGTTGTGGCGCAACTTGTTATCGACATACCCTTTCTGCCCATTAAGGTAAATGTTTTAGTACACTTCTAATTGTAGCTTTTCACTACTCTGTTTGTGCTTGTCACTTCTATTATGTGTATACCACAAAACCCTCACCTCAATTTACTTTAGGACCATACCAGTGAAAGCTAGCATGTGTGGGAAAAGTGGTCGAATGAGGAAACAGAGAGTGAGGTGGCTAAACTCATGGAAGAGGATGTGGGTGTGATTTTTTTTTTTTTTTTTCTTTTTCCNTTAACTTTTTTTTTTGAACAGTCTCATCATATCTCTTTCCATCATATTCATGATCAGACATAACAATCATTTAAGTGCTTGCAACAACAGTTTCTTGGAAAAACCAATTTCTTGCTTTTAATTAACTCAATAGTTAAATTTGGAACAAGGGATTCTCTCTCTAGGAGAGCTGTGTACTCTCTGGAGACCTTAATTCCGCCTTGGGCAGGTATCATCGTTTTAGCTTTAAACCCTCTCTAGATCATCTTCATTTTTGCGTTTTATTGTCCGCATTGGCCTCTGGCATAGTGTTGCTTGCCTTTTTCTTCCATAGCAGGTATCTTTGATTTCTAGGTATTTTAGTGCCATAAGAGTGGAGAGTTCATGGAAGACAACGAATTATCCATCAAATTGGGATCCATAAACCTTGAAGGGAAAGAAAAAGAAGATATTGAAATTGACCAGGAGGATTTCCACATGAGCGAAGAGATGTGCCGCCGCAGTCTAGTTGGGAAAATAATCGGACAGAAAAAGGCCAACATCGCAGGACTAAGAAGAGCGATAGGGCAAATGTGGCATATTAAATCTGCTGTCACAGTGAGGGAAATCTCGAATAACTTCTTCCAATTCATATTCTCTAATGCGGCAGATATGGAGAAGGTAGCAAAAGGAGTAATTGGACATATGAAAACCAATTTCTCAAGCTCCAGCACTGGGAAGAAGGCATAACTGCTGAACACCTTTGTTTCCAGGAACTAGAAATATGGATCCAAGCTTGGAATATCCCGATTCACTGGATATCTACAGATGTTGGGCTGAAAATCGGGAAAGTCTTCAAAAGAGCAGTTGATGTCTCGATTCCAAATGGGGGACCATTGGCAGGGAAATGCTTAAGGATAAAAGTAGCACTGGATATCAACCAGCCACTCCTTAGGTGCTCGAACCTGAAATTCGGAGATAAGAAGATCCAAATTCATTTCAGATACGAAAGACTGGTTAGCTGCTGTTTCTATTGTGGCTATTTGGGACACCTCGAAAAGAACTGTGATAAAAGGGCAAAAGACATTATCAATGGGTGTCTAGAAGAAGGTAAGTATGGGGACTGGCTAAAAGCTCAAGATATTTTCTACCCTTCTGCACCAAGTACCTCTTTTAGCAATAACTCAGCCAGAGAAACATCTCAACCTACCCACCATTCACCAGACAGTCGAACCCAAGACATAGATAACAACACTCCTTTGTCTCAACCCAATTCAAATTCAAAAGCCCTCAACCCACTTCAAAAGTCAGCATTAGTCCCCTCTGACATAAGCGCTAATGACTCAGAAACCCAACAAATCATAACTCAACCTTCTAAGCCAAATAAACCATTACCTATATCTATACCCCAAGACATGGACACAGAAATACCACTAGACAATCCGAAAAACAATCATCCTAATGAAAATCAAATTCCAACCTCTGACATTCACATGGAAGCTCAATTTATTAAACCAGAAAAGGCGAAACCAACCCAACCTCAAGTGATTCCCAATACAAACCAGCAATCTATCATTTTCCCTATTCTTCAAACCAAACCAGATTCTCCTCTCAACCCTCCCATTCCTAACACTCCAGTGATACCCTATCAGCCAGAGCTTTTAACCTCAACCCATAAATCAGTGTGGAAGAGAAAACCATTTTCAGGTATCAAAATTGAGGGGAATAATAAACCAGAACCTATAAGATCCAAAAGGCAACTTGAAGAGGAGACAGAAAAAGTTGAGAAAACAGATAAAGACCAAGTTACTCATGTTGAAAAGAAGCAGAAGGTAGCAAATGAGGTGAGGGAGACCAGCCTGAAATGGTCCCCAAAGTCTAAATGAAGGTTGCGGTGTGGAACTGTAGAGGTGTGGGTGGCCCCTCTACGGTTTCCCAAATCAAGGAGATTTGGAGACTCCATCACCCGGGTTTATTCTTTCTCTCAGAAACGAAGAGGAAGAACGCTTTTGTAAATACTATTTGCAGAAATTTAGGTGTTGTTAACAGTTGGTCCTCAGTAGAACCTAATGGGAGAAGTGGTGGGTTGCTGCTCATTTGGGATGAATCAGTGCAAGTTTTCACAGTTAACAAGACTCAATTTTCCATGGAAGTAGAATTTTGGGATGAAGCTAAGGGAAGAACAGGATGGGGGATTTTCATTTATGCTAGCACCAGTGGTGAGGAAAGACTGGAGCAATGGAATTATCTCTTGACTGCAAGGCAGAAATGGGGAAATTACTGGTTTCTTGGGGGTGACTGCAATGATATAACAAAGCCAGAGGAGAAAAAAGGAGGAAGAGGAAGATCATATGCTTCATGTATGCCTTTCAACAGTTTTATTAGCAATATGGGCATGATGGAGATTGGAATGTTGGGATACCCATACACTTGGAGCAACAACAGGGAGTATGAGGGATTTGTAGAGGAAAAAATAGACAGAATCTTTGGATCACTGGCATGGATATCTACAAATCAGTCAGCTCATGTGACCAATATATTCAGAAGCTCCTCTGACCACAGCTTGCTTCTCCTAAATACCTCTGCTCAAACTTCATCAAAGAAGAAGAGGTTCTTTTTTGATACCAGATGGTTGGAGAGAGAAAATATTGCTGAGGAAGTGGAAACAGCTTGGTCCAAGAAGCAAGAAGGCACTCCAATGTTTGCTTTACAATCAAAAGTAAAAGAAACGAGAATTCAACTGCTGAAATGGAGTAGCAAGTTTAAGTCAGAACATGCCATGAAAATCTCAGAGCTGAACAGAGAACTAGAATCATTAAACTCAGGGGGGATTGAGAGATTGGAGCAAATGGGACAGGATTCAGAAGGAGCTGAGAGTGGCATACAAATGGGAGGAGAAATTTTGGCTGCAAAAATCTAGAATTTCCTGGCTTAGAAATGGAGAAAAGAATTCAAGATTCTTCCACGCCCATTTATCCCAAAGAAGGAAAACAAATCAAATTCACAGACTGAAAAGAGATGAACATTCTCATTGGGAGACAAAGGAGGAAATTGCAGCTTGCATTGAGGAGTACTATACAAACCTTTTCTCCTCTGAGAGTACTATTACAGGGGACAGTCTGCTGGGGGGGATGAGAGAAGTGATTTCTGAAGAAATGAACTCTGAGCTTATGGCACCAATTACTACCAAAGAAATCAAAGAGGCCTTGCAAAGTATCAATCCTCATAAAGCCCCAGGTCCAGATGGTATGACTTCCTCATTTTTCCTCTCCTTTTGGTCAGTTATTCAAAAAGATTTTTGTTGTGCTGTATCTAGTTTTTTTGCCTCTGGTAGAATGCTCAAGAGTCTTAACCATGCCCTGATTACTCTTATTCCAAAATGTCAAAGCCCTGAGCTGGTTAGTCAATTTAGACCCATAAGTCTTTGCAATGTAATTTATAAAACCATATCCAAAATCATTGCATTAAGACTTAAGCCTTGTCTGCCTGTTTGCATTAGTGAAATTCAAGCTGCTTTTGTTCCTAACAGACAGATAATGGACAATGTAATTCTTGCTCATGAAGTTTTTCATTTTTTGAAGTCGCATAGAGCTGGTCCTAAGTGTTATATGGCCCTCAAACTTGATATGATAAAGGCATTTGACAGGGTTGAATGGGACTCTATCAGACTGGTTATGTTGAAAATGGGGTTTAATATGACTTTTGTGTTGTGGATTCTTCAATGTGTATCCTCGGCTTCTTTTTCTTTTAATGTGAATGGAGAGGTTAGTGGCTTTGTCAACCCAACAAGAGGGATCAGACAGGGGGACCCACTGTCCCCCTACATTTTTATTATCATCTCTGAAATTCTGTCTTTTCTGATACAAACTGAAATCTCTAATGGGAATCTGGAAGGTGTCAAAATTTGCAGAAACAGTCCTATTCTCTCTCATTTGTTCTTTGCTGATGATACATTGTTATTTGCAAAAGCTGAAGTGCCTCAAGCTATAACCCTGTTGGCCATTCTTCAGAACTATCACAGCATCACAGGCCAACAGGTAAACCTAGAAAAATCAGCAATCTTCTTTAGCAAAAACACTCCTATCTCAGTTCAAAATGACATTTGTCATACTCTCATGGGCATTAAAACTCACACATCCACTAATTACTTGGGGCTGCCTCTTGGGATAGGGAAATCTAAGATTGCCACATTTGCCTCCATTGAACATGCAGTGCACTCAAAAATAACAAAATGGCAGAACAGATATCTCTCTAATGCAGGCAGAGAAGTACTCCTGAAAGCTGTCTTGGGAGCATTGCCCACTTACTCCATGTCATGTTTTCACCTGCCCATGGGAATTCTGAAAAAGATGGCTGCCACATTTGCAAACTTCTGGTGGAGTTCAGATAGCAACAAAGCAAAGGCAATTCACTGGTGCTCATGGCAAAAATTAACTCTCCCAAAAAAGCTGGGAGGAATTGGACTTACAGATCTTCACACCTTCAACAAGGCCCTTATCTCAAAGCAATTATGGAGATTGCTAACACATCCTAATATCCTGATGAGCAAAACACTTAAAGCCAAATACTTTCCAAGGGAGGATTTCTTCACTGTCAAGCACAAAAATAATAGCTCATGGCTTTGGGCAAGTTGGATGAAGCAGAGGGAATCTTTCATGCAGGGCATTCTCTTCAAAATAAAGGATGGAAAAGGAGTAAGAATATGGGACCACCCCTGGGTGCCTAACATGCCAAGACTGAACCAACAAACCAAGACAAGTGCACCTCCTAATATCAAATTGGTCAAGGACCTATTGGAAGAATCAGGGAGAAGGTGGAACAGGGAGCTTGTGATGACATACTTCCCACCCCAGGAAGCAAAAGCAATACTGAACATCACAGGAATGGATCCTCATCAAAAAGACAGAATGACTTGGGTAGGAACAGACAATGGAAGTTTCTCTGTCTCCTCAGCCTACTCAAAAATGATCCTGGAAAAATTCTTACATATGGACTTACCTGGAACGAGTCAAGATCAAACAGTGATACAAAAAGCAAGAATGCGAACTTGGAAGCTAAAAATTAAACCCAAAGTGAAGCATTTTCTGTGGAAAGGAATGAATAACATAATACCGGTCAACAACAATCTTATCAAGAAGGGGATGACAATCGAGGCAACCTGTCAGATGTGTGGAGAAGACCAAGAATCACAAGAACACCTCTTTTTCCATTGTAAGCGAGCTCAAATAATATGGAAGATCTCCCCAGTCTCCTGGGATGGTGCTCAAACATTCACAGACAGCTTCAAACATTGGTGGCCAAAGATTTGCTCAGTAAATAACTCACCTACTGCGGAGGCCAGGCTTCAATTGTCTTCTTATATCCTCTGGTGGATGTGGAAGACTAGGAATTTGTGGGTGTTTAAGAAGCAATGGAGATCAGAGAAGGACACAATCTCATTGGCTTTAGAAGACTGGATGGAATTTTGTTGTTGTTCTTAATATTTGTTTGCGGTTTAGGTTTGTGTTCTTGCTTTGTTGTTGTTTTCTCTTTGTTGTTGTTTGTCTAGTGTTTTGAGGATTACTAGGCCTGGTGTGGCAGTGGTATATCCTTTTTGTTGCCTAATTTTGCTGTACATAGGGGCTTAAGGTTTATGTGCAATCCCCAGACTCTGGAGTCCTCAAAAGCTGGGGAAGATGCATAAAATCTTGTTCGGGTTCTCTTACCTTAGGGTGATGTTGTATTAGGACAAGTTTGTCCTTGCTGTACATTTGCTTGAGTTTAATATATCCTTTCGTTTCGAAAAAAAAAAAAAAAAAAAAA